CTCGAGATTGCCAATGACAACCGGAAATTAGATCATGCCTTGTTACATCGAGAAGTGAGCCTGCGCTCGGCAATTCATCCAAGACGTGTAGATATAACGCGATTACGGTAACACTAAGATAATCAGGCCATGTTGTTCCATTCACTAAGAAGCGCGACGGCGTGCAAAAATTCTCACGGAGCATAGCCAGGTGAATTATTAAAGCTTTACGTAAAGAGTAACGACAGAGATGTCTTTCCGCAATTCTTTAATTTTAATTCTCCCTGTATCTCGCATGACGATCAAATCTCGCGAAACTGCTTCGGATTTCGTAGCTTCTCACATTTTTGTCATAACGTGAGAATTTTATTTGCGCAATGTAACAATTCCCAGAGAAACTCGAAAAAGTCAAGTACGTATCAAGATATTATTATCAAAAAATTATTTTATATTATCAGGTTATCAGATTATCAGATTGTCATAAAATAATGTTACGTTATCTAAAAAAATATTTGTGAATTGTTAAACAAACAATATCGTGTTGAGTAATTGTTTCATATTACGTATGCGTACAATATGCTGCAGGATAATGATTACGTGAAGGGGCTTCTCGAGTATCACGTGGATTGAATTCATCTGCGACAGGTGCTGTTTCATGATGTATCGATTACCTATTTCGTCGTTGGAGCGGATGTGTCGCCGACGAAGTCCATCGAGAAAGCCGGAAGTGGCTGGCGGACAATGTACAGCGGTACTCGTGATAGCCGTATTTGAATAATCCGCCTGAGTACCTTCAGAGTTGCCTTTTCGAGTCGATGAACTCAATCAAAGACGCGACTTACATTGACTGTAAAATACATCTGGGAACCGCTGTTAAAGTCTCTACAGCACGCTACTCTCAAAGGCAATGCAGGAAATGCATTCGCCTGCAAAATTTACTTTAGGATTAGACTGGGCGGCCTCTGCAAATAGCACAGCATTCGCAAAGTTGTCCACCTCAGAATGTTATAACAATCCTTAATAATTGTTAAAACGTCATTTTTCTTGAAAGAGTACTTGCGGTTTCTTTAAACACTTCTCTGCGATACGTTCTTAAACAAGCATTTTATAATATTCTCTTGTATCGAAGAAAGGCGTATGAGAATGAATACAGCGGACGAGAAAGGAATATATTTCTCAGAATTTACCGCCGATTACGGTAAATATAGAGTAATTGCATATCATAAATTGCTTCATCAACGGTACCAGGCGCGATGTGTTATTAAATATCGACAGAAAAATTATAGAACGCCCATGTTTCCCTGGGAGTTTTGTCATCGTAGTTTCACAGATAGGCGGTAAAAACTAATCACGGTGAGATGTGTATCTTTTCGCTAAACATACTCTAAAAGAAGCATGCGGGAATGGAATAAGAAGGATAATTAAACACGGCCGATAATCCGTTGTTGCATCAATTACTCCGAATCCGCGATGTTATTTCGCGCGCGAAACCGCGGAATATCACAATCATTGCGGTAATTAAAGACGCGCCCGTACGATGCAACGGAGAGGAATCTCTTTTATTACGGTTTATAGATATAATTGATCGCGAGATCTATCCGAGATAACCAGATCGAGGATCCAGTTAGAAAGTATGTTTGCAGCGCTATCGTAATTATGGCGGTGCGAGCGTTTCCTGGTAACGCGTAGACACCGTTATTCGGCACACTGCGCGAGAAGATACATAAATTTGTCTACAGCTGATACTGCGCGATAATCCGCTGCTCGTGCGTTGCAGTTTCTTTCTTCATGTCTTGATGCATTAAAACGCGCACATTGACGCGGATATTCCGTAATTGCTAGAATTTAGTTTTTAACGATGCGCAAAACGATCTCAAACGCATCTTCTTTTCTACTTTTTCGTATGAATATTAAAACGTTTCAAAAGCACACCAAGGGATTGCATAAATATTTAATTGCAGAATTAACTGATTGGATGGCGCAATCTGCGCGACCGTTTCCAGCACCGAATTATCCTTCGCGTTCCTTCACGCTCGGCTACCGCGGAAAGCCGCGTTCAAGCCGCGTCTAGAAGTCATTGCTCGCTTTTTGCAGGCACCGTTTCGTGCTGCTTAACAGGAAATCCGAATACTTTCTAGCACTGGCCTACAGTGAGGCGGGTCCTTCTCGCAGCTGCACGGATCCCATTCATCGGTCTTTGATCTACACTCAAAAAAATGATCTTGCAATAATAGCTAAAATTTTCTAGGTGTAAAAAATTAACTAAAACAGATAAATAATTAGCAACTGTTGTGATATTGCATATGTAATTACTTAATCAGTTTAGATGACAGAAACAGAATATATATCTGTATTGTTTGTGAACTTTAAAAAGAAAGTTTCTCTAAAGCGCCTATCTATATAAGATCAATCACGTGTTAGATCATGCAATGAATAACATTTAGCAATGGTACCTAAATTTTTCAGAAGCTATTGCTAGAACATTACTGCTATAAATTCTATATGTGACAAACAATGTTTTCACAGATACGAAAAATAGCGATACATTCTTGTTGCGATATCTAGAAATCTAACTACATCAGCGAAATATTTTTTTGAGTGTATGCGTGATTATAGTTTTTATCTCTACCGTGTACGAATGACAAATACAATAAATATGCGATTGCAAACTGAGTGATATCTGCATTTATCAACTATTAATAGTCTGTAATTAGCATTATAAGTACAGTCAATACGTGTATTTACGTTTCAGAAACCCTCATTTAACTTGCATATTTCTTGCTGAATTATGCTGTTTTAAATGGATGATACATGTGACGTGATTCCTTCTTTGCTGAATTATTCACACAGTTGACATTTTCTCTAGCATGAATATATTTCGGTTCCGACATTCCACGTTATGATCTGCGCTTGCGGTGAAACGTTCTGTGCATTTTAATATATAACATTTTACAAGATATACAATTTCATGTATTCTTTATACACGGTAAATCTCTTGGCCGAAGAAATCGAACACGTTCGCTTGACGAGGATAAATATAAGCCACGAGAATTGAGTAGGGTTTAACTTTTTTGATTACTATCAACCAAAAATGCTTTCAAGAACAGCTCGAAGGACGTAGATATCGGATTGGTTTCATTTTACCGGTTCGTGCCACGACTGTTAAAAACATGAATAAGAGACGCGCACACAAATATAGACGCATCATCGACATTCCTTCAAGGAGTCGCCTTCGTACGCTCGGCGTACATTCATATTATACCTCACACGTGTACGGTTGTGACGCGCGCCGACGTCCGGATTCCCTGATAAACCGTTATAATCGCCGGGGATCGAACGGGGCGATGGCGGACACGCGGACGAAACGTTTAGTTCACCGCAGGAAGATATCCTGTTGACGATGTTGTAATCATAATCCCGTCGCGGTCGGTCCCGACCGGTCATGGAATACTTCCTGCGCGAATCGCGAATCTAACGGATCTCGCCATTGGCCGGAGCCGATCGACTCGTTCGCCAACGCGTCGGTTGCAAATGCAAGAATGTCTGAGCGGGACTGCTCTGATTTTACGCGAATTAGGTTTTTTTTTATTCGACGACAGATGCAGAGATATAATATCAGCTTGCGGCGCGCAAAAGAACAATTTGCGAGTTTCACGAATCAAAATAAAAATTTAATAATTTAAATTCCGTTGCATTTCGCTGTAGAGCGATATTCGAAAAAATTGGAAATTGAGCAAAAAACAGATATTGATCCTTTAATTGTAGATTACAATTAAAGGACTAATATCTGTTTTTTGCTCAATTTTCAATTTTTTCGAATATCGCCCTAGTTTAAGTGCTTGAATCCGCCGCAACGAAATCGCAAGACGCGATTTCCGCGAGCGAACGCGCACGAATGTGATTTAAGGAAGAGTTCTCGCGCGAGTTCTCACGACGCAATCGGAAGCGCCGGCATCTCCGAATCCGCGGAGGCCTAATTACGCGCTAGGCGGCTAATTGAACGCGGGTGCTCGGCAGTCGCACGACCGCTTGCTCCAGTTAAGCGAGAGGCGCGATTGTATGCCTGGAGGACGGATAATGGCGTGTTGGTTACATAAAAGCGACTGGATAACGGCGCGTGTGCCGCGAAATATAATAAACTTTCGCGATCCGTCGTTGCGCCGGTCTCTCTCTCTCTTTCCACGCAAAGTGCACCGTCGTCGCGTTGCATAGGCGCAACGCGCGTATACGATCGCTTTCCAGCACTTCCCACGAGTTCGCTCATCCGATGCGCCTCGCGGCCGTTGCGTCACGCGTCTGCCCGCAATCGCTCGCGGCTTGGAAAACGCGACTGCAATAACGTATATAAGACATTTGGATTAGCCATTGTCTTGCACATTTTACATTTTATTCAAGGTTAAACATGTAACATACATTTTTGAAAAAATATATAAGCATTTGTTTAAATATATTTGAAATGTATTTGAGGAACACAATAGTAATAGATACGAAAGAATAGTACGATGTTCAAGTGATTCTGCGCGCCGAGGCTGGGATGGCAAAAATAGGCGTGGTACTGTGAGATTAATAGACACGGGTGTGCAGATGTAGCATTAATAATAATCTCATGGCCGGTCGATGGTTATCGCGAGCGCTCAGTTACGCGGCGCGAGGTATGCAACTGCTCTGTGCCACAATTCAGCCACAGAAACCGTAAGGAATTTGATGAAAACCGGTGTGTATTCGACGGTGTACAGAAATGACGATACCTTCCGCGTTCTTTCGCGATTATATGACGAGTTCCCGAAGTGAACGCGAAAAATGTCGATAACCGCACGGTACGATATGACGCTCGCTCATTTTAATTCATCGATGACAGAAGCGTTAGTCATCGCGTATTTCCGAGAAAAATTGTTAGACTTTGAGAAAAATTACGTTCCAATACCTATTTATTACCTTGTCTGACAATGTCTGCGATGTAATTATAGCTATCCGAGATAAGACTGACATCTACTAATTTTATAATTTCTCGTTTGTTGCAGGAATATGCTGATAAGAGAATTGGCGGCCATTTGGGTCGCCGTCCTCTTGTGCCATCTTCAGCTAACGGAATCTCAGGTGAGCATTCGAGTATACTTGATCGAAGTTTCAATGACTTTGAAGTGCCGCGTACATTCGCAATCAATTGATCGTTTGGCATGCATTTACTAAATTATAAATTAATCGCTTGTCTACGTTCATCGTTTCTTTTGCGATTCAAGAACAGTCATTGCTCAGGAATCTAATAAAAATATTCCGGTCAGTTTTTAACTTTAATCGCGGCTGTCCGATGAAGAACTTAAGTGCTCGGTGAAGGTAATTTTGTTTGCGCGGAGGAAAAAGTTGCGGCCCTGCCACAAGGCAGGCAGGCGGTCAGGAAGAAAACACGCGAGGGCGAGCCCGCGCGGGATAAGTCGTCCCTACGTCGGGATTCTTAGAGGAGGGGGAGTTTCAACCGCGGGTTATAAAGTAATTGGTATGTCGGCGGCGTAGCTCCATAGGAGTCACCGGTGCCGGAGCTCGTTTCCACGAGATGTGGCATATGTGAGGTGAAAGTGAATTTGCAGCGTAGAAGCGCGCCCGCGCGCAGTGTATACGCTAACGCGCGCGCTGAGTACCGCCGCAATCACACACAGAGTTGCAACATTTTAACTACAGAAGTTGGTAGTTCCAATACACCGCGACAGAGAATGTAGCGGGAATGTAAGTCCGAGAGGCAAGCATTCCTGCGTGACGCCTTGATAATTGTTTTCACGAGGGGCAAACCGCATTTTCTGCAAAAGCAGACGATTCGCTCGGTAATTACTGGAGTAGAAAATTACGCTGCGATATATATAATTATGTTCGATAAATATAAATTTTTATACAAATTCAGAGAAATATTATGCATTTATACGCTTTCAAAACACTAATCGCTCTCGAAACTTTCCTTTGAATAAAAATTCAATGCTCGCGCCGCGCGCCCGCTTTTCGCGTGAAAATGCTTACTGCATTTGTTGCATAACAACTTAATAAACATGAAATTTCACGTAACACCGTAACATTCGCACTTATCGCGTTTTATTAAATGCGAAAGAACTTAATAATATCGCGCGTGCAACTGCAACATGTAAATTCATTACGAGCGACTCCATTTTCGAGCGAGCTCGCGTAGGAATGTATGAAGGCGCAGCCTTTCTTTAGATGGTGCAAAATGGCATCTCTCTCAGGAATGTAGTCACCGTTATGTCACTGATACACACGCATAACGACGTCGAAATGCGAAGAAGAGCAAGTCGTTCTCTCGAAGTAGCGGACACTTTCCGTGCTCTTGGCGGACGAACGCGAGAAACGAAGATCGTTGGACAGATTGCATTTTCACTTTCTCCCGCCGGATAACAATGCGTTTACAGCACGTCTGGGGAGTCTAGTATTCAAAGGCGTTAAACTCGCAGTATTCAAAGGCGTTAAACTCGATGCGTGAAAAATACGCCATTCAACTGTGAAACCATGTAAAATTTGAAATTTACAAAATGTAACAACATTGTTTGAACAAAAATATCTTCAAAAGGCTGACCTGCCGCCGAGAAATTAGACGAAATTTCGAAATTTTTATTATTTATTAAATATGATTGTATAAAACTCACTCTGCAATTGAGTTTTTTGCAGCTACATTTTAATCTGATATTACAATTCAAATTAAAAAAACTTTATATATTTTCGTTTATCGATTTCATTTATCGATATGATTATAATGCCAATTCATTTCACTAGCTGATAATTGAAGAAAGTTTCTTTTAGCGTGGTGAAAATTCAATATACTTTCGATATCATTGTAGTTTAGAATTCAATGGTCAGTTAACTGGTCTGTGAACAGGTGTTAGTCTTGATTAAACGCGTCTCATTTCTGTTGCAGGTTCCTGCTACAAATCTCTTTACCTGTCAAAATGGTGAGTAATTTTATAAATATACTGGCGGTACGTGAGTGCGTGGGTGATGTTTAAGGCATCTTCGAAAGATAAAATACACATTCAATTTTTGTTCCACCTGTTCAGGCAGAAAAGAACTTTTTCATAATGGTCTAAATCTTCGTGGAGAAGCAAAAGGATCCTATTTTACATAAACGTGCTTCTACAAAATTCTGAGCAAATAATTCTTGAAAAGTGCATTTTAAGACAGAAATATGCTTCTGGTATGCCATTCTCGTGAATACATAGCGCTTGAAGCTATAAGATGATGTGAAAGTTATGTTGCGGATATTTTTTTGAGCAAGTCTCCTAAGTTAATCTGAAGTCATCGTAGAAATCGCCATCGTAGAGGCAGCCAGTTTAAATATTAAGCGACTTTTACTTTCGAGATCGACCTCCGGCGATTAGAACTTTCGCAGATTCGAGAGAATAAGCGAGAAATAAAATCGCTATAATAATCTTTGAGATTTCTAGAAATGAATGAGAGTATCAAGAAAAATAGTGTTGTTTTTGTGAAAAATATTAAAGAAAATACCGCACGGCGTTTCGCTGTTTGAACAACTGCGGGAAAGGTAAACCATTCGGTTGACGAACAAGTCTCTTGAAGACAAAAGATTATTCTACGAGATAGATTCAGCAAGAAAGAGGTTTATTTGTTCTTCGGAGTTCCTCAGTCAAATCAATAACGGTATTGCTGATAACGCAAGCGTCGAGGGAGCATGTGGAGTTCATTTCGCGAGTCGAATGCGGAAAATTAATTTCACGGACATGCAGCCGCAAAGCGTAACGAGGGAAACTGATGAATTCTTTTTCATTAGGCCGCGCGCTTCCGTATTCAAATCACACGTAGGCGCTTTGAGTCGCAAATGCGAATCGGCGAATTATGCAGCGCGCCGGCCGGTGCGAGAGTTTCGAAAATGAGGCGCACGCGTGTCCGATAAATAAATCTCGTGAGAGACAATGAGGATAAGAGTTCGGCCATTCGTAACGCTGCTCCACTTTTCCTCGTTACTCGCCGATGCAATTAAGTAGGTTGCACGTACCATATGGGGCTGATCGTCGGTCGTTAGCCATAAGTCGTCGCGTGCATCGGAAAAATTGCAAGTGCCATTTTCTTCCGTGCGTTTTCTATTTTCTCGTGCTTCTTCGTACCTCGATTAATCCACGCTTTGTTCGGTCACGCCTCCGTCTACGGTAAGTGCATCAGAAAACGCTCGTCCAAGTATCGAGAAATCATTCTGTATAATCGTCATGAAGTAATAATTACCTCATAAATATGTATATAAAGATTGTGATTTGCAAAATAAAATATTCAATTCATTGACTAGAGATATTAAATAAAGGGAAATGTTAAATTTGGAAAGTAAGTCTGGTATGTTGATGTCCAGTTACACAATATGTTAATTTATTACGTTAGGTTGATAATCGGAATAAAATCGGAAAAAATTCTTCGTATAAATATTCCTCCATTAGTATATCAAATGTCAGTATTGGAATTCATCGCGACATATATGGCTGCCGTTATACATAAAACATTTCCACATTCCACGCGTTCTATAAAGCATTCCGAAAAATTTTATCTCTCAGACTACTAGGATTAAATCGTATTAAACAGGTCGCAGATTACGTAAGTTCTATATTAAGTAAATTCTGGTTAAAACTTTTCGATCCAGAGTTTAACTTCACTTCAGGTGCCTGACGAATCCCGCGTCTAACTTTTGAAGCCCAAAATTTTTTTTCGGTGCACAATATAATAGCACAGGGATCGGACGGAGGGACAGGTAGATCCTGGGTAGATCTGTAGGAAGAACAGGGCGAGACGGCATTCCTAAACCGTGAATCCTCCACCTCATCTCGTTTTCTCCGCCCCTCTCCCGTCGCCTCGTCTTTCTTCTTTCCACCGAACATCATCCGCCTCGACTCGTCGTCATCTCGCCGTTGTTGTGGTGCACGCGAAGATTTGAAAAATGTACGTCTGGACTTGTACTCGCGCGCGGCGGTTTATCTACCTTCCACCTCGGAGGAAACTCGACCGAGTACAGCGCGTCGAACGGGATTCCAAAAAGTAGAACATCCGGCAACACGCTCGCTCATCTGTTCTTATGTGATCATCCGTCGCGCTACGTACGCGCGCGTACCCGCACGTTTTTACCGGAAGAACGGAGACGACTCGGGAGAGAAGACAACTTTTTCGCGCATTTATATGCCAGCCTTAAGGATTATATCATCTTTCCGCTAGCGAGCACCAATAAAGTCTTGTAGTTACAATCATCTCTGCTTTCTAATTCCTTTTACATATTCAACTTTGGATTTTTCGAATCTCGAACAATTTTAATAATTTAGATTTAATATAAATCTACGTGTAAGCTTAAGAGATAGTCGCTTTTTAGAATCTTTTTCTATTTTCATCTTGTCATAATAATGTCACGTTTTCCTTCTCTTTACGAAACCAAACTCGTAACCGCAACGCGATGTCGTCGACGATATTACGCGATCGTTGAAATATCACGCGTCTGTTTGCTGAGAGAAAATAATATTGCATGCACGTTCCTCGAGCGAGAGATGCTAATGGATCCCAAGAGAACTGCGTGCGTGGTGCCAGTATGGCTGTTTGACCTTTTGAAAGAAAGGAAGGTCGTCATCTCGAGACTCTCCCAGCGAGTTCAGAGGGACTGCATCAACAACAAGACGGAGTAACGCCGTGTCTCGATTCTCTTCAGCGCGACTTGTGCGTGTCCATTGAAATGCAAGACAATTTCAATTACATTCCGCGGAGAATCTTGTTGTTTGATCACAAAGCAATAAGAAAATAAATCTTTATAAAATTTTGTATAAACAAAATAAGAAAAAAATAACAATTTATCTTTGTTTTTAAAAGTAATTAAAAATAGAATTTTTCCGACAATTATAACAGCTCGATTGAAAAACATTTACAGCATAGAATCTTAGTAGGTTTATGCTGGTTTTAAAAGCATCAGCAAATAATTGTAAAATGATCAGAACGATCGACAGAGCAATTTATTTGACATCCAACACTGACACCATTTGATAACCAATAGAAATCGTCGAAAATACTTATAAATAATGGTTAGTTGGGCATTTAAATAATTATTTTTCTATCTATTTAATACGCAATAAATATTAATCCACTTCGTTATTGCTTCGTAAAATTATCGTAAGAATAATAAAACGTGCTGTTACCAAGCTACAAGTTTATTCTTTTTTTAAAATAATTATGAAATATTATACTTTCCTGGATAAATTTTTTCATGATATTTACAATTTACGTATTCGATCAGACATTTCGCGAGTCATAATATTGCTCGGCTATTATAAAACAAGATTCTGCGGCGAGGTGGTTTACTTTGATCGAATCACTGACACGAATCGACTTTGCGGAAACCGAAGCATCGTCAGATGTTACGAACAGCATGCTGCGAAATAAAAGCTCTAGCCTGGAGCGACCCAGATACAAGCTTTTTACGCGCGATATCTACGCCGATCGGTGGAGAAAATTATTTCGATGCAATTTCTCAGTTGAAAGAGCAAACGCATCAGATCGCTCTCCGATCTAATCGATCTAATCGATCTAATCGATCTAATCGAATACTAATCAGATGTAAGAGAGCCTTGTAAATCAAATAAGCGTAAATCGCTAGCGGTAGATTTAAAATATGTTACAGCTGTCAGAACGTCGTAAAAAAAAATCGACGATCAGATTTGATAACAGCTATAAAATACTGAAGTGAGCGGGTGAATACAGACGAGCCAATAATCTGTCGAACTCGTTGAGCTGTCACCGTGGCAAGTTTCACTATTTTACAAAAGTCCCCGTCGGTCGGTTGTCAACCCTGCGAGGCACATGTGTACTAAAAACGATCGAGGCCGTTGTGTCCGTCACTGTCAGCGCGAGTCACCGATTAACCGCCTTTCCTGTCTTCTGTATGCTCGCCGGCAGAAGATGAGCAAAGTATCCGGTTACTCGGAAATGCCGGTAGACCTTAAACTACCGCTTCCTGTATTTATTCGGGCTGGAAGCTTTTAGCATCCAACAAAAATTTCACGACTTTCGCATATTTTAAAATGTATGAAAATTTATACCGTGAAGCTTTTACTGCACTTTTCGAAAATTTAATCATTTGATGTGAGTCATAGTAGCGATGCAATGACCTGCTTTGCGAGTAGTAAAATATGGAAATTGCGTGTTCGCGATGTATTATTGCAACTTTGCGCTCAGATGATCTCTGTCCAGGCAGACAGCTTAATGTGATGTTTCCCTGCACAGGATGGGAGCTGCGAGGCATACACTGTTATAAATTCTTCAACATCAGGCACTCCTGGGAAAAAGCGGCGGAACTATGCAGGAGGTAAGCCACGCACAATTGCCCTCCCTTTCATTAGTTTTGCTAAAGCTTGACTTTAATGAGATACGATCAATATCTTTATCGATAGGCACGTAAAGAGTCATAATACATGTCTCAATCATTTTTTTGTGACGATTATGTTATAAAATATCGGTGTTCTTGACAATCTGTTGCAGGTACGGAAGCGAGCTGATGGTGGTGGAGTCGTACAGCGAGAACAACATGTCGGCGAGTATGATCGGCCGGCATTTGAATCGTTACTGGTTGGGTCTTGCCTCGCTCGACGATTTACGAACCAACACACTCGAGTCCGCCGCGGGAATGCTCGTCTCGCAATACACCGGTTCGTACGCAATTCCGTTTCATTCGATTTGCCAGGCGCCCGCTGCATTTTACACGAGCAAATCTCGTAACCAAATGCACATTCCGCAATCACGTTCCTGTCTCCTTTTTATTGTATCTACTTCCAAAGTAGTATCTTATTCCACGCTCTTTGCCATTAACGATCGACGATTTAAGAGGCCTTGACCGATATTCCGCGCAATACAATACGGTTCGCAAGTCCGATCCTCGTAAAAAAAAAATGTAAAAATTCCAAAGTTCCGTTAACTTAACTTTCAAGATTCTTACATATGTAATCTCTGTTTTTCATCAATTAAAGAATATGATTTTATTGTTTTTTAATTTAATTCTATAAAATTCCATATTTTCTCATTAATTTAAAAACTAGATTTTTATTTAAAAACAATTTATTAAAAAAATATACACAAGGTACTTCTTAATTTTGACAATTTTGATACTAAAATTTTAGATTTTAAGAATGATTACAAAAATTTAGAAATTATTAATTCAACTAAAATACAAATACATAAACATAAAACATTTAATGACATATTATTATGACAAATGTTTCTGTGTGTTACGAACGTATTACGAAATTAAATGACTAATAATCGTGACGCGGACGTTTCGCTCCGATCTCGTATAACACGCAGGGCCAGTTTCTATCAGGGTCACGGAAACACGGAACTCGCACACACGGCACGAAGACACACTTTTCCCACCAACAATGCACAGACGTCGTCGCTTTGTATGTCCGTTTGCTACAAGCCGCAATTTCCCCGTCTGCCGCGTTTGCACACTGTCCGCGCCACTAAAGCGCACTATTAATTATGCGCCGGGCTCGGTAGTTAACTGCACATTATTAGCAACGGATGTAATTATTATTAACTAACATAACAATATGCAAGATCTCGATACACTCCTTCTTCGCAAACGCGTGCGTTTGAGACTCATTAGAGACATTCAGATGTTATCGCTGTCATTATAATCATTAATTATTAATTATGTATATAATTAAAAACATAATAAAGTGCTCTGCGAATTTTCAATATTTAGCTCGAAAACAAAGTTTCTGGAGATTAATAAAAATTGTATTTTGCCGGTAAAAATGTAGGTTTCTGGGCGCCGAGTCAACCGAACACAAATTCAGGCGAGTGTGTGGATGTCGCTTTGACGGATGACCGACAAACGTGGGAACTGACCACGTGCGAGTCGCTTCTTCCTTTCATGTGTCGTGCCAACGCTTGTCCTTCCGGTAAGTACATCGTCGCATTGAATTGCGAGCAACGCGGTCGCATAACGTGGCCAGCAGTTTCACCATAATTCACGCCCGGAAACCGGAATAATAATCTTCCATGACGGGATATCTTCCACAGGTTCGTTCCACTGCTCAAACGGCAATTGCATTAATGCGGCATTCAAGTGCGACAAGCAGGACGACTGCGGTGATTATTCGGACGAATTGGATTGCCCTGCTAACTGCCAGTACTACATGGCGAGCAGCAGCGGCACCGTGCAAAGCCCGAATTATCCACACAAATATGCACCGCTCAGTAATTGCAAGTGGACGCTGGAAGGTCCACAAGGGCATAATATTGTGCTGCAGGTGAGCTATTTATTCAACGATCGATGAAATCGATGAGATAACATATATGAGATAACATATAAAACGTGAGAAAAAATTTTTAAAACAGAAATAAATTGTAATTATTGAACTATTTGTGTTCTAGTTCCAAGAATTCGAGACCGAGAAGAGCTTTGACATCGTGCAGATCCTCGTGGGCGGTAGAACCGAGGAGAAGTCTGTGAGTTACGCGACCCTCTCCGGCAAACAAGAACTCAACAATAAACACTTTGTCTCGGCTTCGAACTTCATGATCATCAAGTTCAGCACTGATGCATCTGTAGAAAGGAAAGGCTTCCGCGCTACTTGGAAGACGGAACCGCAGAATTGTGGCGGAATCTATAGAGCAACGCCGCAAGGGCAAGTGCTCACATCCCCGGGATATGTAGAAATGCAGAATTATCCTGGAGGACTTGAATGCTTGTATATCCTGCAAGCTCAGCCGGGACGCATAATTTCATTGGAGGTATGCTAAAACCTCGCGCTATTTGTCTCGTCATCTATTAGACAATGCTTATTCAATACTGCATTAAAAGTTCTTCTATGTAATGTTAAATACTAATAAAATTAGAAAATTTTTTAAATAAATAACTAACATTTTTATAAAATATAAAGTCAAAATTCTTTACAGTATAAAAAATAAATTTTAAAAATATGTTTAATTGCTTGTTTTTAGATTGAAGACTTGGATCTCGAAGCGCATCAGGATTACATTCTCGTAAGGGATGGAGACTCGCCTATGAGCCGGCCAATCGCGCGTCTCACGGGAAGATTGGAGGACAATCCTGCAGTGATTATGTCCACCGGAAACAATTTATATCTGTACTTTAAAACAAACCTCGGCGATTCCAAGCGAGGTTTCAGCATTCGTTTCACGCAGGGCTGTAAAGCCACGATCATCGCGAGAAACGGGACAATTGAATCGCCTTCTTACGGCCTCAACGATTATCCTAATAATCAAGAATGTTTGTACAGAATCAAAAATCCGGAGAGAGGACGACTGTCTCTGAAATTTGTCAACTTTGATGTTCATACGAGTGATCACGTGCAGGTAAATTGAATTAATGAAGCTTATTGGAAGATAAGTTTGGTCTCTACATTGAAATTGTTAACTTTTTCACTTGCAAAATGTACAGATATACGATGGTTCCAATACAAACGGTTTACGTTTGCACCCCGGCGATGGTTTTACTAATAACACTCTACCTACGCTCACGCTCACTGCGGAAAGCGGAGAGATGCTCGTCAGATTCGTCTCTGACGCTCTGCACAGCAAAATTGGCTGGCAAGCGAAGTTTTCCGCCGGTAAGCCATAAGTCACATTTCATCTTTTGAAATTTTGCAAATTATCGTACAATGTGGAAAGATTGAAATATAATATTTATATTGGGAAATATTTAACGATAAAAAAAAAACTCATTTCAGATTGCCAGCAGTTACAACCCGGCAAGGGTGCTTTAGCGTCGCCTCGCGAGACGGCCTTCGGCACAACGACTGTATTCTCGTGTCCGGAAGGACAGGAATTCGCGACAGGAAAATCGAAGATTGTTACGAGATGTCTCCCCGGAGGAATCTGGTCTATTACGTATATTCCCAAATGTCAAGAAGTGTACTGCGGCCCCGTGCCTCAAATCGACAACGGATTTTCAATTGGCTCTTCGAACGTTACCTTTAAAGGGCTTGCAACCTATCAGTGTTACGCGGGATTCGCGTTTCCTTCTGGACGGCCAACAGAGCAAATCTCATGTATGGCTGACGGAAGGTGGCAGAAAAAGCCGTCTTGTTTGGGTTCGTAGAAATTGCACGATCAGTATGAAATTTATTTAATTATAGAATTAAAATGCTAGAGCAAAAAATAAAATTACGCGTTTCAAAAATTTCATTCTTCAGCGTCACAGTGTGCTCCGCTGCCAGACGCACCTCATTCCAAGATAACCATATTGAACGGAAGTGGTCGAAGCTATGGCACAATTGTCAGGTTCGAGTGCGAGCCTGGATACATAAGAAGCGGACATCCCGTCATTCTTTGCATGAGCAACGGCACGTGGTCCGACGAAGTACCGACATGTTCTCGTAAGTAAATTGCACGATAATGATAATTGTTAATTAATTTAGCATCAATATAAATTAATAATCATTTATGTTTAACAGGCGCCACGTGTCCACTGCTACCAACGATTAAAAATGGATTCGTTGTCGATACTAACAAAGATTATTACTTCAACGATGAAGCTAGAGTGCAGTGTAACAGAGGATACAAACTTATCGGATCAAATATTATACAATGCGGACCTTACCAACAATTCGACAATGTGCCGTCTTGCGAAGGTAAATTTTATAACGTTATATAATTATATTTCATACGGCGAGATAAGCAGTGGTTTTGTATTCTCCCATCTGTGCTTGTAGATATAAATGAGTGTGCGTCGAGCCAATGCGATCTGGCATCCACGGAATGCATAAACAATCCCGGTGCATTTACATGCAAATGTAAGCCAGGTTTTGCACCAACTATGGAGTGTCGAACGATCAGCGATCTTGGACTCATTAACGGCGGCATTCCCGATGAATCGATTACGGTTTCGAGCTCACAAATCGGATATACAAAGACCGTAAGACGCATTAACATACTTAATGAATTCTTAATAATCACTAATAAAATAAATCAAATAAATAGGCAAAACAAATTTGTTTTAAATATTTTATAATACTTTTAAAAATCAATCCAATTTCCTCGCACTTATCTTAATTCATTCATAAAAAGATAAATACTGCAAAATTGATTTAAAAAAATATAAAATATTTAAAAATATTTCTGCTTTGCCAGTTCATTTGATTCACGTGCATTTAAATCTAAAAAATTAATTTAGTACTATAAAGCTTTGAATTTTAAAATTCTTAATAAATATTTTTCTATAATTTATATTTCTTCGCAGGGCATTCGTTTGAACAACGGCGACGGCTGGTGCGGCAATAGCCTCGAACCGGGCGCTAGCTGGGTGATGATCGATCTGAAAGCACCTATGATCATTCGCGGATTCCGCACTCAAGTAGTAACCAGAATCGACGGAAACATAGCTTACACGTCGGCCTTGCGAATTCAGTACACGGACAATTTGACGGACATCTTCAAAGACTACAGTAATCCAAACGGCACCACGGCGGTGGAGTTCAGGATTCTGGAGCCGACGCTTTCCGTCTTGAATTTACCTGTGCCGATCGAAGCGCGCTACGTGAAATTCAAGATACAGAGCTACCACGGCGCGCCGTGCTTGAAGCTGGAGATAATGGGATGCACTAGGCAAGAGTGCAACGATATTAATGAGTGCACATACCGCAACGGTGGCTGTCATCAGAAATGTATCAACAGCCCTGGCAGCTATTCCTGCATGTGCAACACGGGTTACGAACTATACAAGGGCAATGGCACGGCTGGATTCAATTTGGCAAAATCAGAAACCGGTGAAAGGGATGGCGATTTGTATCAGAGAAATAAGACGTGCGTGCCGGTGAAGTGTCCGCCATTAACGGCGCCGGAAAACGGAAAAATATTGACAACTAAGGTAAAACAAAAATGAAATAATAATTCCGTTGCCTGAATACACTTCAACTGTTACGAAAACTAAATAAAAAAAAATACAAAGACGGAATAGCTTTCCAATCGGAAATATGAATTACTATTATAAAAGTTATATTATAGCTGTATAGTGTCTTCTAAATAAGATTTTAAAGCGTAGAAATTTATTTGTTTTGCAGAAGCAGCATCATTTTGGCGATCTCGTCAAATTCCAATGTAACTTTGGTTATGTACTATCTAGACCGTCGGCTGTAATTTGTACTTCTTCCGGTGTTTGGAACGGAACCATTCCTGAATGTCAATGTAAGTAAATATAAAATGTTCTAAAATTATAATATGCGTGTAGAAATTGTTTTCTTTCTTTTCTCTTGCACTCGCGCTAATACATAATATAACGCGAAGAAATATAATTTCTATAAAAAATATATTTCGCTTATTTAAACTTCTGTTTCATTATAATTTATGTTTTAATTTTATTTCAGATGCAAAATGCGTATCGCTACCGGACGACAAGAACGACGGCCTGTCCGTGATTCGAAATGATGAAACCAGCGTGCTGGTGCCCTTCAAGCATAACGTCACCTTGCAGTGCAACAACAAGGGCCGCTACTTACGCAAAACTGCGACATCCGGTTTCCGACAGTGCGTGTACAATCCGAAACCCGGCTTTCCTGATTACTGGCTGTCCGGTTTGCAGCCGGCGTGTCCTCGCGTGGATTGCGGCAAGCCTCTTCCCACACCCGGCGCCGAGTACGGCGAGTACTCGGACAGCAAATATCAATCCGCATTCTACTTCGGCTGTCAGGTTACCTTCAAACTGGCTGGCCAGAGCAGCCACAACGACAACGTCGTGCGATGCCAAGCGAATGGCGTTTGGGATTTCGGTAACCTGCGATGCGAGGGCCCGGTTTGCGAAGATCCCGGAAGGCCGAGCGACGGTTTCCAGATAGCGCGAAGCTACGAGCAGGGCTCGGAGGTGCAGTTTGGCTGCAACCGAGCCGGCTACATCCTCGTCAACCCGCGACCGATCGTCTGCGTCCGCGAGCCGGAGTGCAAGGTCGTGAGGCCCCTCGGTCTCGCCTCCGGGCTAATCCCGGACTCGATGATAAACGCTACTACCGAGCATCCGAACTATGAGGCCAGGAACATCCGGCTGAACTCCGTGACCGGCTGGTGCGCCAAGCCGGAGACTTTCTCCTACGTGAGCGTCGACCTCGGTCGCGTTCGCCGAGTGAAGGCGATCCTCGTGAAAGGCGTGGTCACCAACGACCTCGTCGGCAGACCCACGCAGATTCGATTCTTCTACAAGCAGACGGAGAGCGAGAATTACGTCCTCTACTTCCCAGACTTCAACCTGACCATGCGCGAGCCCGGAAATTACGGCGAACTGGCGATGATCACCCTACCGAAGTACGTGCAAGGCCGATTTATCATCCTCGGTATTATAAGCTACATAGACAAAGCTTGCCTCAAGTTCGAGCTGATGGGATGCGACGAACCGACAAACGAACCGACGTTGGGTTACGATTACGGTTTCTCACCCTGCGTGGACAACGAGGTTCCGGTCTTCCAGAATTGTCCGCAAAAACCTATAATCGTACAGAGAGGACCCGACGGAGAATTGCTTCCGGTGAACTTCACAACACCGATCCCTATCGACAACAGCGGAGGTATCGCGCGAGTGGAAGTGATTCCCGAAGGCTTCAGAACTCCCATTCATATCTTCGAGAGCATGATCGTTAAATACGTGGCCTTCGACTACGACGGCAATGTCGCTATTTGCGCGATTAACATTACCGTGCCGGGTTAGTAGTTTTTCATTTTACTTCTAAGATAAATATGAATATTTTAATACTTGTGCTTAGAGCATCTAATTTTATAATATCACAAATAATATATTTCAATATATTTAAATAATGCTTTTAATTTAACTTTCTAATTGTCATTCATAGTTTATTTTAATAATTTATTGCAGATGTAACGCCGCCCAAATTGAGCTGTCCTCAGAGCTATGTCATTGAACTGATCGATAAACAAGAAAGTTACTCCATTAACTTTAATGAGACACGAAGGCGCATTAACGCTACGGACGCATCCGGTCCTGTGATGATCACTTTTTCGCCAGAACGCGCAGTAATTCGCACCGGTGGCTTCGAAAATGTTACTGTCTACGCGACGGACTCCAGCGGCAATAAAGCAACTTGTCACTTCCAAGTGTCCGTCCAGGCAACGCCGTGCGTCGATTGGGAATTGAAACCGCCGGCTAACGGCGGTCTAAAGTGCATCCCCGGGGACAAAGGGCTGCAATGCATAGCAACCTGCAAAGCTGGCTATAGATTCACCGACGGTGCATCCACGAAGACATACGGCTGTAGCGTTAATAAACGGTGGACACCTTCATCAATGGTTCCCGATTGTGTTTCAGAAAGTAAGTTTTTTTTATTCTCATATAAAATTTTGCCCAAATTATTATAGATATATCTATTTAATTAATAATATCCAATTAAAGGATAAATTAACGAAATAATTATATTTATAGACACGCAACAGGCTGATTATCACGTAATCGCCTCGGTGACTTATCGCGCGAACGGCGCCGTTTCTCGATCCTGCCTACCGATGTATCAAGATCTCCTGAGTCAATATTACATGAACCTGAATTCTATTTTAACGGATCGCTGTTCCAACGTTGTCGCCGTGAATATGAATGTTTCCTTCGTGAGATCTTTGCCCTTATTGATCGAAGAGAACGTTGTCAAGGTAAGAGAGAAATTGTATTAGTTTTTAATTATTGATTCAGCTAAATTATGACTCCTAGACAACGATAAAAAGTAACAACATAAATTTTTAACACAAATTTCAGATGGACTTCGTTTTGGTCATCCTTCCGGCGATACGTCAAACAAAATTGTACGATCTCTGCGGTTCCACGTTGAATCTGATCTTCGATGTATCGGTACCGCATACGAGCGCAATTATCGAGCCTTTATTGAACGTTTCGGCGATCGGCAATCAATGCCCGCCCCTTCGTGCTCTCAAATCGTTAATCAACAAAGGATTTACGTGCAGCATCGGTGAAGTTTTGAATACGGATACCAACGATGTTCCTCGTTGCCGTAAGTAAACGTATTTTATAATTAACTCTTTCGCTATATGAAACAGCGCAATGAAGAAACACTCTGTGTGGTCGGAATAAAAATAATAGTAACAAGCGCTGTAATGCGCCAACAGTACTCAAAGGGTAAAGACGTTTTTTAGGACGTCTTCAATAAATAATTGTTTTAATTAAAAGACGCTGCATCGATATGCAACTTTTATCAAAGAATTTTGAAATGTATATATACGATATTTCTTTTTCACACGTCACAATACTCGCTTCGTACATTAATTTACGTATTTTTTTACATACTTTCAGTGCATTGTCCCGCCGGATCTTTTGCCGGGGAGAAGCAGAAGCAATGCACACCCTGCTTGAAGGGCTATTATCAGAACAACGATCGTCAAGGTTCCTGCTTGCGCTGTCCGCACGGCATGTACACGAAGGAGGAAGGATCAAAGCACATAGACGACTGCGTTCCCGTCTGCGGTTACGGCACATACTCGCCCAACGGTCTTGTGCCCTGTCTCGAGTGTCCTAAAAACAGCTACACCGGCGAGCCACCGACTGGCGGCTACAAGGATTGTCAGACCTGTCCTGCCGGAACGTTCACCTATCAACCGGCCGCGCCTGGTCGCGATGAGTGCCGTGCCATGTGTTCCCCGGGCATGTACTCGAACACAGGACTCGCTCCTTGCAGCCAGTGTCCGAAAAACTTCTTCCAGCCTCAGCACGGAGCGACCACTTGCATCGAGTGTCCTGTGAATATGCAAACAGACGGAACCGGCTCGGTGGGTCGCGAGGAATGCAAGCCTATCCAGTGCAACGACAATATATGTCAGCACGGCGGTACCTGCAAGGCCAAAGGACACGGCATGCTCTGCCGCTGTCCGGCCGGTTTCTCTGGGAGACGTTGCGAAATCGATAATGATGAATGCGCGTCCCAGCCGTGCTACAACGGTGCAACTTGCATAGATCTGCCGCAGGGCTACAGGTGCCAGTGCGCCAATGGCTATTCCGGTATTAATTGTCAGGAGGAGAAATCCGACTGCACCAACGACACGTGTCCGGAAAGAGCCATGTGCAAGAACGAGCCTGGATTTAACAATTACACTTGCCTCTGCCGTTCGGGATACACTGGAGTCGATTGCGACATCACCGTGAGTGTCTCTTCATTTTTCTTGTTTAAAATTAAATAAAAAAATATAAATCTTTTTTAAAATTAAATAAAACATATTCTTCTTGTTCAAGTCGCGTTACTAATTTATAGAAATAAAAATTTGTATGTAAAGTATTTCGATAAATATTTCATTCCATTTTATTTCATGTCTTTGCAGATTAATCCTTGCACAGCCAGCGGAAATCCTTGCAACAACGGCGCGACTTGCGTGGCCCTTCAACAAGGCCGCTACAAGTGTGAGTGTTTGCCAGGCTGGGAGGGTCAGAGCTGCGAAATCAACACCAACGATTGCGCAGAGCGACCCTGTCTGCTCGGAGCCAATTGCACCGATCTGATCGCCGACTTTTCTTGCGACTGCCCGCCCGGATTCACCGGCAAACGATGCCACGAGAAGATCGATCTGTGCTCGGGCAATCCCTGCCTGAACGGCATCTGCGTGGATAATCTCTTTAGCCATGAATGCATCTGCCATCCAGGATGGACCGGCTCCGCCTGCGAGATCAACATCAACGAGTGTGCGCTGGCACCGTGCCAGAATAACGGCCAGTGCCTCGACCACATCGACGACTATACGTGTAGTTGCGAGCCCGGTTACACGGGCAAAGACTGCCAGCACACCATCGACCACTGCGCATCAGATCCTTGTCAGTACGGCGCCACATGCATAAATCAATTGGAAGGATCCGTGTGCAGATGCAGACCCGGCTACGCCGGGCTGCATTGCGAGACGGAGATCGACGAGTGCCTCAGCGATCCTTGCAGCCAGGTCGGCACGGACCGCTGCGTGGATCTTGACAACACCTTCCTCTGCCATTGTCGCGAGGGCTACACCGGAATGTCCTGCGAAACTAACATCGACGACTGCGCGTCCGATCCGTGCCTGAACGGCGCGACGTGTAGAGACGAAGTCGGCGGCTTCAAATGTATGTGCACCGAAGGATGGACCGGCGTTCGCTGCGAGAGCGACATCGGTATGTGTCAGAATCAACCCTGCCAGAACGACGCCGCCTGCGTCGATTTGTTCGTGGATTACTTCTGTGTGTGAGTGCTTTTTTTCCACGACGGCTCGTGTAAATTTATTTCTAAATTTTTATCAAAAAAATTAACTTAAAATTTGAATCTGTAAATTTTAAATCAACAGCTGTCCATCTGGAACCGATGGCAAGCAGTGCGCAACGGCGCCGCAACGCTGCATCGGGAATCCGTGCATGCACAACGGTCGTTGCCAAGACTTCGGCTCCGGCTTGAATTGCACATGCCCTGAGGATTACACGGGTATCGGCTGCCAATACGAATACGACGCTTGTCAAGCCGGCGCTTGCAAAAATGGTGCAACCTGCATCGACGAAGGTTCTGGATTCACCTGCTTATGTCCTCCAGGATATACCGGTAATTAACTCGATTAATGTTATTTGTTTCTTTCGAATAAAGTAATTGTCGAAACGCCAAAAACAAATAATTATTGAAATTATTTGAAATTTCTTTGTAATTAGGTAAAACTTGCGAGGAGGATATAATTGATTGCAAAGAGAACTCTTGTCCGCCATCGGCGACCTGCATTGACCTCACCGACAAATTCTTCTGCCAGTGTCCGTTCAACTTGACAGGCGACGATTGCAGAAAATGTACGTTTCGCAAATTTTTTGAAAATAATTAATAAATTATTAATAATAATTATTCTTTAATTTGAATTCTTGCAGCTATCCAAGTGGATTACGATTTGTACTTTAGCGATCCGAGACGCAGCAGTGCTTCGCAGATCATTCCATTCTTTACTGGCTCGACCAAGAGCCTGACTGTCGCTATGTGGGTGCAATATACGGATAATAAAGAGGAAAGTGGAATTTTCTTCACTCTTTATGGCGTCAGGTAGAGTTAATTATGTTCCTATTTTGCTAACAATTTATATCTCAATCTCCTATCGCTGTTTTCTTTTTATTTACGATGCATTAATTAATATATTTCTAATTTTTTTCAGCTCGCCGCACGTTCCTACGAACCGCAGAGTCATGATTCAAGCACACAGCAATGGAGTTCAAGTATCTCTCTTCCACGATCTGCAAGACACTTATCTACAATCCACCGGAGAATACACGAATATAAATGACGGACAATGGCATCATGTGGCACTTGTGTGGGACGGAGAAAATGGTGGAGAACTTATATTAATCATCGACGGTCTCATCGCTGGCAAGACTGAGAAATACGGTAGCGGCAGATCGCTTCCGGCGTAGTAAGTGCCTTTAATTCATAAAAACTATGAATTATTTTTTTCGCTGTATCTTTCGCAGAGATTGCGTAACAAATTGATGGATTTAAAGATAATTTCAATCTAATATAATTTGTATAAAAATTATAATAATTTTGTGTTATAATAAAAATATAATAATTTTAATCTTTTTGCAGTGCGTGGGCGGTGTTAGGAAAGCCGCACAGCGAAACCCCGAAGGGCTACATGGACGGCTTCCAAGGCCACTTGACAAAAGTGCAAGTCTGGAGCCGTGCGCTGCATGTGACGAATGAGATTCAGAAACAAGTGCGCGACTGTCGCACGGAACCGGTTCTCTATCAAGGCCTCGTGCTAACCTGGGCGGGATACGACGAAACCGTGGGTGGGGTTGAGAGAGTCGTGCCGTCACATTGCGGCCAGAGAATCTGCGCCCCCGGTTTCGGCGGCAACAAGTGTCAGGAGCTCGAAGTCGATAAGATCCCGCCGAACGTGAAACATTGCCCGGGCGATCTCTGGGTGCTCGCGAAGAACGGATCGTCCATCGTCACCTGGGACGAGCCGCACTTCAGCGACAACGTCGGCATCGTGAAAATTCAGGAGAAGAACGGACATCGGTCGGGGCAAACTCTTCTGTGGGGCACTTACGATATTAGTTACGTGGCTTACGACCAAGCCGGAAATTCAGCCAGCTGCAGCTTCAAGGTTTACGTGCTGGGTGAGTAAAATTTTTTTCCACTTAATATTTTTTCAAAGTTGCAAAATATTTGAACTTTTCTTCTCATTGTCACAGCGGACTTTTGTCCAACACTGGAGGATCCCATCGGCGGCACGCAACAGTGCAAGCAGTGGGGTTCGGGAGGTCAGTTCAAGGTTTGCGAGATTTCTTGCAACGCTGGATTACGATTCTCGCAGGAAGTTCCCAAATTTTACACGTGCGGTGCGGAAGGTTTCTGGAGACCTACCAGCGATCCTAGTCTACCATTAGTGTATCCTGCTTGTACAAGTAAACATTGCGTTTATATTGGATTATTTTTCTTTCTCACGCAATGTTACTTTCAATATTAACATGTATATTTTTTTAGGCGCTACGGCAGCCCAAAGAGTCTTCAGGATTAAAATGAACTTCCCCACGTCAGTGCTCTGTAACGAGGCCGGTCAAGGTGTGCTCAAGCAGAAGGTTAAAAACGCCGTGAACTCTCTGAACAGAGACTGGAACTTCTGTTCGTACTCTATCGAAGGTAAAACACAAATAATTTCGCGTATTTTCTATGTCGATTCAATTTTCTACATCGAACGCGTATTATTTTCAGGCACTCGTGAGTGTAGACATCTTGATATCGATGTACAATGCGACCATCGCGCGCGCACGACAAGGGAAACGAGCGAAGAGGACGGCGGAACGTACGTCGTTTCCGCTGTCGTGTCCACAGAAGCGTAAGTACAAATTATGATTTCCTGATTAACGAGTTTCTTAAAAAATTTTTGCTATTTGCATATTTGCAATTCGAGATTTTTACAGCGCGCAAATTCATCTGTTGTTCTAAACACATTTTTTAAAAGTAATTAGCGCCGTAAATCATGGCTTGTTTTTGTGTCACAATCGTATTCGTCGCTTAATTGTTGAACGCATCATCGATGTATTGTGCTGCGCCGCGCATTTCGCTCACAATGAATACTGGTACTGAGCATTTTTTATTACTTGTGTTGCATCATAGAACAAGACAGGGTCGCCAAGGCAGTGATACCTACGAAGTGGAGATCTCATTCCCGGCGATAAAGTAAGGACAGCTCGATTCATGCCACGCGCAATTCAGTTTCATTTACATGTCATACATTCATCATTTCTAATACGTTATCATCTTAAAAACAGTTAGACACGGTGCAGTTTGTAACCATCGGCGTTTTTCTCGTTGCATAATCATTGTGCATAACTTGCGGATTTGTAATAAATAGGGAAAAGCGATAAATCGCAACTAACGACTAATCCAACGAATGACGGATCAAGCCTCATACTTGTACGAAAGCTAGAAGCTGGTGTGCACGTTGTTACTAACTGATCACGACCGATCACCATATATACAGGTGGGACGTCATTATAGTGAGCTGCGACAAGTATCCACATACTCCGAGTGATAACAATGTAACAAAATCCATGTAACCAAGCTGTGAGGTCGCTTATCATGCTTACATTCAGGAAATTTATCATTTAATACACCGCTGGATCGGAAAAATACATGGTGGAGATTCAAGCACATAAAATTATAGGCTTCATGAAAATTAGAAATATGAAAAAAAAATGTTATTTTAAAATTAACGCAATCTTGTTATTTGAACTATGCTTATTTAGGCGTCTGGCAGCTTCGGTTTGCGATGATCCAATCCAATACATATTGATCGGCATACAGATATCTCCGACATCATCAAAAATACGATTAATATATATTATTAATTATTAATTACTATAAGGGCATGAGTGCGGTTTAACCTGTGGCACGCGAGACTATTGATGAGGATGCTGTTCTGAAAACAAGGCTGCTTACACCTGCCTTGATATAACGGCTGTATATATTTGCGCAAATCCCTCCACGCCTGTTGCTACTAGAAACACCCTATCCATCTGCAGAGCAATAACTTTTGTTTGTGTTTCGCAGCGATCCGATCCTAAACGCCAATTCGCAGGAGCGCTCCACCGTGCAGAAGCTACTCGAAAAACTGATCCTAGAACAGGCTCAATTTGACGTTCACAATATTCTGCCTAACACCGTACCGGACCCTGCGTCCCTCGTTCTGGAATCCGATTATGCCTGTCCGATAGGCCAAGTTGTCATGACGCCGGATTGCGGTAAGCCGATATGTCTCATTAATTACTATCGTAACTAAAAATTATCTTTCAATAAAATCTAATTTTGACTTAGAAAAATAATGTATAAAAAAGTATAAACTTCAAAAAATATTTTAAATAAGAATATTAAAAGATACTTTGTTAATTAGAAGCGCATATAAGAAAGTTCCAAATACACCTGTCTCTCTTTACGATTTACGCACAAGATACATTCCACTTTGGAAAAATCAAATTCAAATGCATCTTTCTAGTGCGAAATCTAAGTCATCGTTATTATTTTCACAGTACCATGTGCGGTGGGCACTTACTATGACGAGGAGACGAAGCAGTGCGTGTCTTGCCCCGTGGGCACTTACCAGAGCGAGTCCGGGACACTGAAATGCAGTTCCTGTCCGGTGATTGCCGGTCGTCCCAGCGTGACCGTCGGCCCCGGCGCGCGTAGCGCGGCGGATTGCAAAGAGCGTTGTCCCGCCGGCAAATATTACGACGACGTGGCCGGCCTCTGCCGCAGCTGCGGCCATGGATTCTACCAGCCGAACGAGGGCAGCTTCTCCTGCCTGCTGTGCGGCCTCGGAAAGACCACGAGGACGGCCGAGGCGGTGTCTCGAGAGGAATGCCGGGATGAATGCGGATCCGGACAGCAATTGGCCGTCGAAGGAAAGTGCGAGCCTTGTCCGCGCGGCACGTATCGCACCCAAGGAGTGCAAGCGTCATGCCAGGCATGTCCGCTTGGCAGAACGACCCCGAATATGGGAGCCGCGGCGATAGAAGAATGCTCGCTTCCGGTCTGCGAACCCGGAACTTACCTAAACGGAACGCTCAACGAGTGCATGGAGTGCAAGAAAGGAACCTACCAATCGGAACCGCAGCAGACCTTCTGCATCCCATGCCCGCCTAATACCAGCACCCAAGGATCTGCTGCTGTGAGTTTCTCTTACATTAATCAATATAATTTTGAAGAAAAAATATTTTTATATACATATTTGTATATAAATTTATATATAATTAAAATTTTAAAGCTACATTTTTGCTAAAATTATAAATCACAAATTGTATTTTTAATTCCAGTTTTATATACATACTAATAAATAAATAGAAAGGTAAAATAAACGGCAAAATGATAAATAATAATAATTTATGTTTGTCAATAGACGAACAAAGCAGAGTGCACGAACCCTTGTGAGACCAGTGGCCAGGAGATGCACTGCGACGCAAACGCATACTGTTTACTTATACCAGAGACAAGCGACTTTAAATGCGAGTGCAAGCCCGGATACAACGGCACCGGAACCGTGTGCACAGACGTGTGTCTGGGCTACTGCGATAACGAGGGCGTCTGTCTAAAAGACTCGCGCGGACAGCCCTCGTGCCGATGCAGCGGCAGCTTCACCGGCAAGCATTGCACGGAGAAGTCCGAGTTCTTCTATATTACCGGCGGTATAGCGGGAGGAGTTATCTTGATAATTATCGTGGTGCTGCTCGTCTGGATGATTTGCGTCAGGTTAGTAAAGTCGATTAAAAATAATCTACGAGCGCGATAACGACTGCGCGATACCGAAACTTGATTCCGTTATCGAAAACAATTTCTCAAAGATATCATTCACGCGTGAATCGCACGCATGATTTAGCACTATTTTGTGTTCAAGATATCAATCATTTCTTTTTTTTAACAGAGCCTCTAGAAAGAAGGAACCGAAGAAGATGCTTACGCCAGCGACCGATCAAAACGGCTCACAAGTGAACTTCTATTACGGCGCGCCAACTCCGTATGCCGAGTCGATAGCGCCGTCACATCACAGCACGTACGCTCATTACTACGATGATGAGGAGGATGGTTGGGAAATGCCCAACTTCTATAACGAGACTTACATGAAAGGTGAGCACAGTATACGAGATTTAAAAGTAAGATTTGAATGTGGCAATTTGTATTGTCGCAAAATTAATTTTTTTAAACCACTGACGTCTTTTTTTTCTTTACAGAGAGCCTGCACAACGGCAAGATGAACAGTCTTGCACGATCGAATGCCAGTATTTACGGCACGAAAGATGATCTTTATGACAGACTGAAGCGTCACGCGTATACTGGTAAAAAAGGTACAATCCCGCAACTACCTTCGTAAATCATATTAATCAACGCCGGCTTCATCGTTAGCGTACAGCCGTCCGAAAATTACTTCCAACAAGGGATCGGAACGCGCCACACCGGCTGTTTATTTATGAATTAATTTAAGTCTATGTACCTCGTCTTTTTACTATCATAGAACACGTAACAAATTTCTCGTAAAACAAAATTACGATTAACGTAACGACAAATTGGAGCAATCTCGGCGCGCTATCTCAGAAACGAGCGAGCGGCGCAACAAATAACATTACAAAATATCCATTTTCCAGATAAGAGCGACAGCGACAGCGAAGGCCAGTGACCGGGTAGAATGACTTTCATGCCAACGTAGAGTACGAAAGAGCGAGAGATATCAGTGTAATCAGACGGGGCGACGACGATATCTCATCCTTCGAGCGACCTCGTCGTCGTTGCTCCACCCGATCGACGGATCGTGCTATTAGTTAAGATATTTTTACACATGACGTCATGCGAGATCCGCGGTCATCGTGATCGTGCAACTGGACATGAGAAAGAGGGGGAGAGAGAGAGAGAGAGAGAAAAAGCGAGAGAGAAAAATGCACGATCAGAGCTGCGTGATCTCGTATTGACGCGAAGAAATGCACTTTGATCGACGACCGGTGAACGACGCAAGAGTCCTGGAACGGCGATCGGCAGAGATCGAAACGTACACCGATCGTTGCTTCGGCACGCGTCCATCGAGTAGCAAACTCGAGGTGCGCCAGGATCACAAAAAAAAATTAATAAAAAAACAAAAAATAATACCCGTCCGTCCTTCGAAGTGAAATTCGATGCGTGTTCAATGATTAAAGAGACTTACGCGTGAGGTTGTAATTTTTGTAATTTAATATCATGTAGATTTTAAGGACCAACCCAGTACCATCTCCACCATCATCCTCTCCCTTCTGTCCCCCTTTTTTTTTTATTAACTCATACGATTAACGGTGCGTACGTGAACGGAACTGTGTGCTTGCATGTTAATATAACTATACGTACGTGGATATATATTTTGTTACTTCCGAAGGTATACGCATCACGTTGTAATATAATAGTGTGCAGGCGCGCGACAGCGCGACGGGGAAATTTGACGAGATTTCGAATTTAATTTTAGAAGCCGGAGAAGAAAGTGAAGGGATCTCGTGAAAATCCCCCGCGACGTGAGAAACCCAGTTGATTCACAATGACCAAAAAGCTTTGGAAACATTTAGAGTGTACTCTCTCACGCGAACAGTAAAAACGGAAATGTAGAGCCGAGTGTGACGAAACAGTGAACTTTATGTCTACGCGGCGAGTGTGCACCAAACGATGCCTACCACGCTGTTTTTCATTTATGTTGTAAAAACTTTAACAAATAGTTGTTTTTTTATTAATAAAATGTATTTCAGTAAAACTCCTCAATGTTTTATTTGCGTTCTAAGTGTATCTTACTTGCAGACGTACTGTTGATTCGAAGACTTGTAAAATTTTATTCATGCAGCTGTTTTTGATTTATTTTTGTCTAGTTTTATCAATATTGCTCTGTGCATTTTATCTTTAAAAATAATATTGGGCTTTTCGTTATTATTCGATTGAGGCGTCTCGGACGGCGCAGTTTTATTTCTTACTCCTGGATCAATACGAATATCCTTACTGTCGGCTATAAAATCAAAATCGTCGCCATCAGCAGCGACACTATCTTCACCTTCGTTGTCAGATTCAATTGGACTGCCAATCGAACACGACCTTTTACATTTTTCTATCTCTAACAAAGAAAAAACGTAAAATAGCATAGAATATATTGACTAAAATACAAAAAATGAGAAACATACCACGTTGATTTAACTGCTTTAAAATTTTGAGACCTTTAATAAGATCTACATCGTTCTGATTGTGCTTTAACACTGTTAGTGATAAAAATTAAGTTTTGGTAAGTTAAGACTAATAAATAATTAATAATAAAATTTGTTAATCCTTACATTGATTCCCAATATCATAAGCTGTTGTATAATCTTTTTTCATTAGAGCAATCACGAACTGAAATGCATAAAGTTTGGTTAACATTTATTGCGTTTATTAAAAACTATTTTTAAAAAATTAATTTAATTTTTATACTTTAATACGATCATCGTAATTTGTGGAATGTTTTTTATCCATCGTAAAAGTTGGCTGAAGAACGGCTTTTACTTTCTCACTTCACTGATAACCATTTTTAGTCAATGATAAGAATTCATGGAATCGCGTTTATCGTATATCTGCAGTTAGATTAAAGCAAAGTGTAATATTAATAATGTCATAACTTTAAAGCGTATAAAAGCCTTGCAATCTTACTTGTTTGTATTTCAAAATTTTCTTCCTTTTTATATCACAAAAATTTTTATTACAATTTAATTACAATTTAAAAAGTATGCCTAAAGCAAGACAATTGCCATGATGTTATGCACACATATTTGTTAATATAACTTTTAACTAACTTCAAAGAAATTTTGCCAAGAAATTCAAATTATACTTTTTAAACATACTTTTCAATTATACTTTGCATTACTACGAAAGTTTTAATATTACATGTTATGGAAACCATATCCAGCGACTTGTTGGCAGATAAAGCTACCTGATGTCATGTAGGAAATCCCGTTTCGGCGTTGGAACGCAGTGGTAGTTTGCCAGACAGTATGATAATTACACACGTAGGCGAAAGAAGAGGTCATTGGAATGCGGAATGTGAAATGCGTCAGTCGAGAGACCCTTCGTTTTCCTTATGCCGAACGATTCGCAGAAGGAAAGTTTTGAGAGTTGCGAGTTTAAGGATTTTAAAAATTTAATCTTTATGTTATCATAAATTATTTCTCAAAAAAATTGCGAATAAATATCCAGTCTATTTTGAAATAAATTTGTTTTCTATCAAATTAATTATTTAAATTTATCTTTTAACAATATACAAAAAAAAAAAATATGCGCAAAATGCATGGCAATGATCTACTTGGAACAATCGCGAGAGATTCCATTCTCCAATTATTGATTTTTTAATCTCTTTCCAGAGAGTGTTGTAAACATTATAAAAAATACACGTTAACTCTAGTTTGCACTTGCAACTCCATCTAGCCACCGACGATTCTGCTCATTGTAAGTTGACTACACCGATAACATCGAGCGAGTATTATTGAAATAGCAACCTTGCAGCTGCATTATATATGTATTTTGCGAGCAATATGTAATCTAGCGATGACATTTCGTAATAATAAATTCTTATGCAAACTTTCTTTTTTTCAGCAATTTTTTTGCAAAAATTTATATTAAACATGCATTAAAAATATTTTATACAATTACAGCGAAAAAGTAAGATCAGAAAATGAATCAGATTTAAAGATCAAAACTAAATACCTTATTGAATCATTTGCTTTCACTAGCATTGATCTATACTACTGGGCTTCCTATTCGTCAAAAAGCAATTATTCGCTCACATCCGGTCACCGTACTTTCCCCAGCCGAAAGTTTTCAGAGTTGTCTCGTGCTCCAATTCTACTCATTGATTGCTGCAGTTGAAATTCTGCGACAATTCTGTCTATGACTCACGCTATCAAACCGATATACTACCGAAAAGTATTGAAGTTAGTTGTTGTAAGCATCGGCGATACATTGAATAAAACATTTTCCAGTAGCCTCTATATAATCCAAAGTTTTGTAAGAACTTGCAAAACAGATTGACTGAAATCAGTTGCAGCAAATCACCGACAAAATGCGGCATTAAGTAAAAAAAAAAGGAGAACGCGCCAAGAGAATCAGATGAGAGAATAATAAATTATCGACTCTCGAGGAGATTATCGTCTCGAATTCCGCACATGACGTGTTCCGGTCGGTGCGACGCGACGGCGCCGCCGGCTCGCTCCGATTCGTGAACGGTGAGCACACGATGGTTTTCATTCGTCGAGCATGACGCTTTACACGAATCCCGCTCCGAGTGTGCTTTCAGTGACGTGGTTTAACCCCGGCACTGCCGCCTCTCCGGGCGCATTTCACGGACGACGATCGAAGCGACTACACACGACAGAGAGTATACATCGCGCGCTCGCACCGTCCACCTGATTCTAACACGTCGATTACGAGAGACGAGCGTAGTGAAAGAAACTTTACCAGTGCGCGAACACGGACCGATCGTTCCTGGTTTTTTCTACCAGCTTCAGCTCAGCCCAAGTGGAAGGTACACCGACACCAATCGTTTCAGGGAGGGTAAGTAATCGCTTACATCAGAGATCGCGCGATTTTTCGATATAGACGAGTAGGCGAGCGATTCGCGCTTGATTATATAATCACCTGGCTAACGAAACAGGTGCATGTATAGTTGTCACAACGTCTGTCGGCGAAAAGAAGCAAGTCGGGTCGTCGCCGCACCTCTCGGTTTGAAAACTGCTGCGTAGTGTCGCGGGGGATCGATTGGAGCGCGGTGTGTTGACGTAGTCGTAGTCGTAGTCGTAGTCGTCGTCGTCGGCGCGCCGTGCGACTATATATTTTTCGGGTCGCTCAAATATAGATCCTACGAGGGTGTTCCCGACGATGTTTTGCGTCGCAGCGTCTCGCGCGAGAGTATAGAACCGCGTTCCAGGTGCGCATATCCCAGAGCCGCGTCGCAACGTCAGCTTCGAAGAAATGATGTAACCCGCGCCGGTTCGCGAAAATCGGAGTCACATGCGTCCTCGAACGCCACAGTGTTACGTAATCACACGGCTGAACTGGTGACTGTCGCTTTTCCCGCAGTGCGCCTTATCTTCTCGCCGATAAGTCCCGGAAAAACAGCACGCGTAAGTTGAAAACTTTTGCAAAAACTGTGTATCGCGATGAAGAATTGCTTCAATAAGATAAGAATCACTTTTTTTATGCTTATAGAAGCGGCGAAAGAATTTTTTAGGAACTTCTTATAGCGCCGATAAAATGTTGAAAACAACAAGCTATTTGCTCTCTTGATTACTAAACTAATATGTAGTTGCAAAAAAAGATATACAGAGATAAGATAAATCCACATAGGAAGTTGTGATGTAAGATTTGGGAGCAACTCAGAGATGACTAAGCAAAATTGTATCCATACGCGGCACTCTATATATCACGGTACCAGCTTTCGCTAAGCAACAATTAGCTCGATCTTACGGGCGAATTTATATCTAAAAAAAATTTTTTCCTTGAAACGCTGTATCTATGCAACGGATATAATCGCATAATGCACAAGATAGGATCAATTCCTCGAGGTATATAATATGTTATCATGATAAATTACTTTCATTTATTGTTCATCAACGCGAAGGACAGAAACGGACGGATCGACTGACTTTTTATCAGTTTACATACATTTATTTTCATGCATATCAACTTTCCGTGTTTCTCGGAATTGTTATCAGTATGATTTTTAAAAAACAACGACGCGTTAAAGTCGCGAAAAAGATGATTGATACAATACGAAATACAGTACAAATATCTGCATTAAAGAAATCCTAATATTATGCCAAGTATAATTCGTCACAATTAGAGATTATTAAATACAATACTTTTACATTTATTTCAGGCTTCCAAAATCCCTCCCATTTACGAACGTCCAACAACCAGCAACATTTCAGTTGAGGAAGGAGGTGTTCTTAATGTAAGAATCTCGTAGATTCTTAAAAGAATCCTAGACTGCTTAGAAAGTTTCTCTTTTTGGAACCCAATTGGTGCCATATTAAGAGAACTATGTTCGTATTTCAGAAATCAAAGTCATGCAGTGTTCAGGCGCAACAGTTATCTGTTACTCGTGGCGTGAGATCGCGGCCACCGGGCGATGTCACCTTGACGAAGGTGGAAACTGTACCTCTGCTAAGCCCGACAATGGAGGGCGAGCTTTTGAAAGAGCCCTGGACGTTCCCGCGCACAAAGACGAGCTCGGCAAAAGCAGAGGACACCGCGGCGCTCTCCGCCTGGGAGGAAGATTTTCAGGATCTGAGCGACTGGTGCATGGACACGTTCCAGGGTCAATGCGATTTTCATATAGGTGAATCGACTACGTTTAAACTATCAGGTATGTATGTATTTTTACATATAAATGTATAGGCTCAAATTATCAATTAAATTAACCTTCTTTTTTAATTTAATTGACATACAAATGTGTTGTATAGTCTAAAAAAGTTTTGTATCAATGATTATTCAGCGCGGAGCAAATACTACAGAGTTTGCCTCGTTCTAGGTACGAAATACGAGGGTAACAGCGTTTCAACTGTAGAAAAGGAGGGATTGAAGAATTTGAGGAGTACAAATGGCGATGAGAAGGGGGATTTGAAAATGAATACTGTTAAGACCGATAAGTCAAGTGACAATCATCGCTTGATGCTATCTCCATCGAAAATGGTTAAGGAATACGCGATAGGGTATACTAATGAAGAAAACAACGTATCCAGCTGGTTAATGTCACCCGAATCTACAGCTTCTACAAGCACCTTGTCGAGTAAACAGCATAATGCGGACGTTAGCGCGCCTATCGAGAGTCCCAAGAGCGGCGATTTGGCCTCCCCAACTTCGTTCGGCACCATCGTGAACCAGCGCGAAATGTGGGATGAGCTACGCACGATCGAGACAACTGGATCGGACACGTTCGACTTACTGTCGTACCTTTGGGAAGTAAGTTGGCGCGTTTATCGCGAAGACGAGAGCTTATATCGATCGCGCTATCGTAACAATTTTTTTTTCACGATCAATTTTTTTATCGATAAATTAAACTTCTATTGCAGGATGAGATGCGATCAGCGGAAGGCAGCGTTTCCACCGATTCCTCGGTGATGCCGAAGCTCAGGCCGCACGCGACTTCCACGAAGGTGAAGACAGAGCAGATCGACGAGCCGACGCCACCGATGCGTCGAAGGATGGAAACGCGCGCGTCGTCAACGGTGACCTCGTCCTCGGCGGAAGCTCTCACAACGCCGTCGCGAAGATCTGAGCGAACCAGGGCCGCTAACAGTCAGGAAAGAGAGGACATGCCTCTCATCAAAGCGAAGACAAGGGACAAGAATGGCAGGAAAAGATACTACGAGAGCGATTCCGAGGACGATACTGCCCTCTCGCAATACAGGGAATGCCGCGAGAAGAACAACGAGGCCTCGCGACGATCGCGAATGAACAAGAAGGCGAAGGAATCGGAAATGTCTGTTAGGGCGATCGAATTGGAAAGGGACAACAAGGTATTGAAGATGAAGGTTGAGGAGCTGGAGAAGCTGGTGATATCGATGCGCACTGCGCTATTGCGATCCGCTTTGAGGAAAGAATTTTAAGTACGCGTTTACTCGACATCTAGACGATTCCGAGCTGTCGCGCATAATCTATAAATAATTACATCACACACGACTTTCTGTTTTGTCATGCATGCGCCATTATAATGCGAT